GGGCTCAACCACTTAAAGGGACCCGAGCAAAGCAAAAGCAGAAGCAAAGCACACAAGGAGCTACCTTGCAGGCGCGCAGGCCTTTTTGCTGTGAAAGACATCGATGCTTCGGAATGTAGATCTCTGCTTGGCCTGGCATCAAGCTATACACGTCACATCCCAAAAAAGGAATGTTGATGCTGGCCTCAGGCCAACTGCTTCATCCGAAGCTTTCTTCTCTCACGCTGAGCACGTCTTAGAGAAGCTCTACGCTCCTCCTCCTGCTGGTCTTCTGCTGACTGAACTAAATTCAGGCTGCCAGTCTGACGGAACTTCAGGAAAAGCTCATCGATCATGTCTTTGGTCAACACGTCTGCGAATTGTTTCCAGGTTGGCGACCAAAACAGCTTCAAGAGGCCTTCTTGGACCATTTGTCTGACGGCTAGTATGTCTAGCGAAGTCTGCCTCTCGGTTGTCAGAAGACTAGACCCATGTACATAATCGTACAAACTCTTGGCATCCGTGACCAAGCTTCCAGAAGACCGGAGGTATCCTCGCCATTCAGAAGAGATGTTCACCTCTCCATAGGCCAGGGCGTCCAGGAGCTTCAAGTTGTAGATCAGCCGGTCGGCGGTAGAAGCCATAGAGCAACATTCTGCCGCCATGGAGCTTCGCACAACGCGGGCCACTTTGTTGGAATGAAACTCAAGCAGAGAAGCCTTGCCCTCTTCTTGCAGAGCGGAAGCTTGAGATGAAGTGAGCTTCACCTCTTTGAGCCACTGCCTCACCAGTCTTGCCGAGGGACGCGTCAAAGAAACTGATAAGAATTGGATCTCCTGAAATGCCTCGTAACTTCAAGAGAGCCCGGCCTTGTCGTGCAGCATCTTGGAGGTCTGACAGAAGGGTGGTACAGTCAGCCAGGTCCGACAGCTTAGCTCCACTCACACGCTGGGCCAAGGCACTGACTCGAAACAGAAACTCTGGGCAAACCAGGTGCACCGGCCAACGAAGCTGTGCAACCATTCGCCTAAACTCCTTCAACTCCAGAACAGTCAAAGGAGTCTCTGGGTCTCGCTCAGGGATTGCTGCCTTCTTCACCGCGAGGATGTACTCCGTCATGTCGTTGAAGAAGAAACCATCCTTACGATAGATCTGCATCCCCAAGTAGGCAGTAGGCTTGTCGGTCACCTGAATCCACTCCTTGATGGAAAAGAGGTTGTTGATGGACTGCTGGACCTCCTCCAGAACCTTTCCGCGCTCTGCCGTCAGGAAGCCATCGTCAACGTGGAGGCACAGTATGGCAACTACGACGTTTCTTCCAGCCCTCTTGACGAGTTTAATGAACGTTGCCGGGGCAAAGACTAGCTCAATGAAACCACACGACAAGAGATCTTCCTTGGCCTTCTCGTACCAAAGCCTTGGAGCTTCTGAAAGACCATAGGCGGATTTAAGGATCTGCCACAGTTCACCTGCTGAAACCCCTTTCAGGTCACGAGGGGGTCGAACAAACAACTGCCTCTGGACCTTCTTGCCGGAAAGGAAGGCGGTGGAAACNNGGGTGCATCTGTCCGCACCTCACCCAAATCCGGATCCAGATGACCCGGCAGCACAATCCGACTCTTCGCCTTGAGACCAAGCTTGCCAGGAGGAAGCTTGTTGACACGCACAATCCTTGCTGGAACTCGGAAAATGCGACTCTTGGGAACCTTCTTGGCTTCTTCTGAAGTCAGCCTCCGGATGACGTCATTCTTGAGCCAAGCCTCCCACTCCTTTTGGTCAGCGTCGTCAAAGTCGGACTGCTCCTGCTGCGAAAAGAACTTGGGATCCAACTCCTTGCCACTCGCCTTCATCTTGAGCAAGAATGCCTCCTTGATGAGGGCATCCTCCGACAGGTCGTGGAAGGCCGCATGGATGAGCTTGCTGTCCGGAACAGGAACCTCATATATGCTGTCTTCCTTGGCAACATAGACGCAGTCCGGATTGTACTTCCTTGGTTGGGAAGGCTTGCTGAGGGAAGCTTTCCTGCCACTCTTCAAGAACAAGGTCATGCCTCTCCACAGGTGAGGGCATTTTCTTTTGGGCCTCTGCCGGACCTCCTCAGCAGACTCTCTTGCAACCATCGCATGGCCATGCTCCTGACCCAGCATTAAAGTAATGCGAGGTTTGCGGTTGCGAGGTCCGGGGTTCTGAAGGCGTTTTCGCGGGCCTCTGTGAAGTCTGGCTGAGGTCAAAGGAAGGTCAAGGAGTCCTGCCAACTGCTTGACTTCAGCTCTGGGAAGCCACTCGTTGGCCTTCTCCTCCGTCCCAAAAAGCTGAGCATCTGAGACGGCTGTGAACACGTAGTTGGCGAACTCCGAGGTCTTCACCTTCTTTAGGGCAGCCTCGTCCAAGTCTTCCAGGTGCTCTGGTCCCCTCTTTCGAAACTGCGCTGGCAAGTCGTCCAAGAGGCGCTCTCGTCGAGGTCGTGGATCATGAGGCATAGGAAACGCAGCATCTGGTATCAGATCTTCAGGAGATACCAAATCAGCAGGAGGCTCGTCTTCCCAAACTGAGTCAGGAGGGTAGTCCGGCGAGTAGCCCTGCACATCCTCAGGCAACTCTTCATTATGCATGTTTGCACCATCTGCAGGAAGCTGAGCCGCTTCTCCAGGTACAGAAAGTTCAGGAACAGGAGACTCTTGCTGAGGCTTGCGGCTTCGTTGTCCGGAAAGTCGTCGTCGAAGTTTCTTGTCCATGGGACCCTGGAGGATGCGCTTGATAGACTTCAAGCCTTGCATCATCTTACGTGCCTCTGTCATCTTTCTGCCAAAACCTTTTGCCCGTCTCCTCACGGAAAGGCCAGGTGCAACAGGATCAAGAGGAGCTTCGGGCTCGCCTGGAGGAGGAAGGTCTTGAGTGAGATCTACATATCCCTTCGCGAGATCTATCTCACCCTCACGGAGCCTGAGGTCGTGGTCCCGCGACTCCTCCAACGATGCCCCTTTTAAGTTGGCTGCAGCAACCAAAAGGCATCTTCCCCTCCATGACACAAAGTATCTGCTCGCGCCGTCTGGCACCAAAACAACAGCTGGCCCCCTCCAGGCGCCAGCGTCCTTGCGGTACCTCACTCCTGGCTTGGATCCTGTAGGCGACCAAAAGTACACGAGTTCGCCTGGCTCGTAGGCGCGGGCTTCACCACCAGGAGCTCTGCGGAGGGCTTTGCGAAGTTTCTCTTGGACGTCTCCACGAAGTAGAGCTACTTTGGCAGCAGCCCTCTGTTCTGAGAGTCGTGCGACTTCGCTTTCGGTGCTGAGAGCATGGCCTAAAGACGCAGAACCCCACACCTCCTCGTCTAGCAGCTCCGGAAAGAAAGCTTGGCGTCCAAACACCAGGAAATGTGCAGAATGTCCTTGACGACTAATGGTAGCGTTTTTGGCTTGTACTGCACAAGAAAGAGCAGATTTCATGGCCTGCCTCCCAACA